AGCACAAAGACAAACTACATGCCAGGAATCTCACAGTGAAAATATCATGGTTGACTTGATGTGCATGTTTCTCTCTGTCTCTCGCTCTCGTCCTTTGACTTCCTGTCACCCCCACTGAAGTGGGTAACACCCGCTGGGGCACACTTGGTTCTCATCCCCTCCAGGTTGTTCTGGGGCCAAAGAGCCTGGCTTGGCGCTGGTCCAGGAGGCTTCTGCTCATGCTGACTACCACTCACTCAGAAGCCACCACTGGGAGGGTGGAACCCTATGAGTGAGGTCAGTGTTCGCCAGCTCCAGGCACTCCTCTGATGGCATCATGATTTCTGCTACACATGATGTCCTCTGTCAGTTACATTATCTTTACCCTGACTCTCAGGTTTTTTCAGTTAGCATCATCCTAAGCAATCACCGATTTTCTTCTTCAATCCTTTAAATAAGTCCAAGTTTATAAATATTGAAAAAAGTTCCATCTATATATCAACTAACATCTCAAGGATTATATCTTGGACAGAAGATTTTAAGGGTGCTCGTTTCTTTCATAGCACTTGCCTCCGTTTGTGCTGAGCTCCACTCCTTTGTGCAATTGCTAACTCACACATGTCTCTCTCACCACATTTCTGCTCTAAGGTGTTAGAACAGTGTGTGTTTTGCCTTCCCATTGGGTATCGAAGGCCAAGCACATAGCACAGGGCCAGACTCACGGGAAGGGATCTATCACTGTTTGCTAAGTGACAAAATGGATTATTTACACATCAAACAACTCTGTAAGCAAAGTAGCTTTTACACCCACTTTAGGGTGAAGAAAGTGAGGCTTAAGGATGGGCACTAGTTTGTCCATGTTCATGCAGCCAGCAAGTAGCTGAGCCAGGATGTGACCCCATTGTAGAGAGACTGCAGATAAACACAAATGCTCAAAAATGCTGCTACCCAGAGATAATGCCTGAAAGGGGGTTGACAGGAAATGAACTTGGACAGTCTGTGTGGAGTGGTACTGGAAGCAATCTGCATGTTGGGAAAGGAGGAGTTTGGGGTTTATGCCATCTGCCTTACAAAGCGATCTGGAGCTTTCAGACAAGAAAATGATTTATCCTTCTGAGGATTGTTGTCTTTACGGAGAGAGACGAGTAAAATAAAGAGACTGGAAAATGGTAAAATGTGTTTCTGTCCCCACACCCAGAGATGACACCATCCTCTAGGGTGAGAATCAGAAAAGTCAGGGTTTGAGCGTGACCAGCCATAGGCAGAACTAATTAGCCACCTACATGGCTTTCTTTCTTTCTTTTTAATAAATTAAGATTTAATGTTTTTACTCATCACTGCACATGATTTATATAAAACATTTCTTGTTGTAAATCATTTAAACACCCCAGAAATCTACAAATTGAAAGTTTCTCCTCACATCCCGTTTCTGACCCATCTCTCCCTCAAGACACACACAGTCATTCTTTCTACAGGCCTGTCCTGTTTACAGTTTATGTCTGTCCTTCCAGTCATGTTTCTCTACATGTACACACATATTTGTAAATCTCCGTGCATGCTATAGAAATGGGTTCATACTGCGTGTAGGATTGGGGAATTCCCTAGTATGGCTGTACCATGTTTACCTATCTCCTATCAATGCACATTTGGGTTGCGTCCCAGCCGTGAACATTCTGAATATAGAAGCTGCAAATCTGACATTTTGATGGACCTCTGGGTCAGGGACTAATGTTCAGGATGTGGTGCTCATAATAGAAGGGGATGAGGCCTGTCTCTGAGATCCTGCACCTGCTACACCAGAGGTCAGCAAGCCTTCTGTAAGGGCCCAGACAGGAAATATTTTCAGCTTTGTGAGCCATGCAGTCTCTGTCACAATGTCAACTCTGTGGTTGTAGCAAAAAAGCAGCCACGGACAGTAGACAAACAGCTGGGCGTGGCTGGGTGCCAGTAAAATTTTATTGACAAACATAGGCAGCCAGTCCATGAGCTGTAGTCAGTTGAGGAAAAGAATAATCTTTTCAATAAATGATGATAGGACAGCTGGATATCCATATGCACAAGAATGTGGACCTCATGCCTTATTAAAAATCTCACACCATTTAGAAAAATTAATTCCAGATGGATCATATAGCTGAGTGTAATGACTAAGATGATAAAGGTCTTGGAAGAAAACATATGTGTAAATCGTTGTGACCTTGGCTAGGCAATTCTTTTTTAGAGATGACACCCAATTAATCACGCCTTTCTGTAAGGAAATGCTGACGGTGCCTGGCCCTCCCCATTTTGACTCAGCTCAGCCTCAGCAAGGCCTTACCCTCATCCCCAGGAATATAAGCTTGGAGATGTCCCTTGCTTCCCCAGCTTTGCACAGAATCAATGGCCTCTATTCTAGACAAAGAATGCTTTGGGTCAGTCCATGGAGAAGGTGAGGATGGGAACACTACTGGGCGGACCTGGGCAGAAAAGTACCTCGCACTTCACAAGTGTTATAGATGACCATTTGTTTTTGTTCTTCCACTAGAGGGTAAGAGCTGAGAAAACATAAATCTTCTGTTTGTTGTTTTTAGTTCCCAAGGCCCAGCACAGAGCCAGGTGCACAGAATGTCCTCCACACTGTTGGTTGAATGAAACTAGGGATCTTCATGAAACATCATGATCTTTTTGAAACCCACATTATGAAGTCACTACCATATTCAGTTCAAGTTCAAATACCATTCTGGACCCAAAGAGGATTTCTCTTTAGGGGCTCATGGACAGTAAGATCCAAGATGGTCACTATTCAGTCAGAAGCATCCATGGAGTGGAGATGAAAATGCTCTTGGTTTTCTTGCTCCAGGCGCATCAGGAGCCTCACTTTTACTCCTCTCCAGGATTCTGAAATTTAAAGCACAGCTCAGCTCTTCATCTTGGGATGCACGTGGTGTCTGGGAATCCTGCAGGTGGGACCAGCTGCCCACATCATGGCCTACCTCTTCACCATCATCAGCCTGCAGGGCGTCTTCATTTTCCTGGTGCACTGCCTCCTCAGCCAGGAGGTATCACTGTGTGACACCCACTCAGGACTCTTCCCATCTTACTCCTCCCAGTGAGCTAACCCAGAGTCTGCTTTGCCTCTGCAGGTCCAGGAGCAGTACAGGAAATGGTTCGCAAGGGTCAGGAAAACCAAAACTGAGTCTGAGAAGTACACACTCTCCAGCAGGGCCGTGTCTGATGCCTCCAAACACAGTGTGGTAAGGGCATGCATAGCTCCCAGAGCACTTCACTAACAGATCTGCTTGAGCAGCACATGCCTACCACACCGGGCAACCTGGGTATATAGGAGGTGATGCCCCAGAATGACTCACACTTAGTTTACTCCTTTACTCATTCAGGCACTTCCCTGTCATGAGAGGCGTTCTTCCTGTACTTGTGTCTACTGTCTTTCTATGCTCATCTTTACGCTTGCCCATGGAGGTCCCATTCCCCACATGTGTGGAGCACCTGTTTGGTGTCACATGGTCCATGTGCTTTTTAATTTTCCTTGGTGAGAAGATAGAAAACACTTACTCACAATCAGACAAAGATGCTATAGTAAGCTCCATAAGCAGGAACTAATGCTCTGAAGCAGTGATGCACGAGGCACTCAGAGTCACAGCAGCATCCTTTATCCCAAGTCATTCCATGCCACCCTCTATATAAAATATAAATACATGGTATATACAGTCATAAGGGGAAAGTGAAATAAGCATTAACTTGGATTTGAGACTTTCCTTAAAAGTCTGCAATCGTACCTGGTATTTTCAAAACACACAGACAACGCCAAACCAGGGAGGAGAATCTCAGAAGCAGAGGAGAGATTCCAGCGTGGTGAATCACACCAAGCATTTGTGTTTTCAGTTACAAACCCTCTTCTCACATTTTTGTTCACATGTTCTTCACATCAGCGCTTGGAGGTGAGTTTTACTATGCTCCCATATGATGGGTGAAGAAAGTGAGACTCATGGGGTCTGCATAAATTGTGCAAAGATTTGAGCCAATTTGTTCTTTCTCTCAACTTCTATGAGCCCCCACCCTGCCCGGCAAGGCCTCTATATTTCTCTCATCTACCTGCTGGTCCACCCTCTGCAACTGCCCCTTCCTGAATACTCCACTCCTCAAATTTCTCATCTTTCTAACTCTTCCCTCTTCCCAGCACATGTTCCTACCAACTTCTTCACAGGGAAAATCAACTCAGCAGGATGCAACAAGGTCAACTGTGTGCTCTCAAAAACACCAGGCATTTAAACTCTGGTTCATTCTCTCCTCATTCCTTCTTGTCTCCACAGATAGACAAAATGTGCTTCCTACTTTTTGAGGCTAATCCCTCTGCCTGTATTTGGTTGCTGACGCTTGATTTCTCAATAACTTTACATCATTGCTCATACATTATGTCTCGGGTCCTTGCACGGTCTCCCTTCTCAACAGCTTCCTTTTAACCTTGACTGCAACATTCTAATCTCTCTCTTATTAAAAATTATTGTTATACACTTGATCCCTCCCTCTTTTTCCTCTATACACTCAAAACTGCCGTTTGCCTCCTTTCTGGAACCAAAAAATCTCTCTCTTAAGCCTCCAATGAGCTTCATATCGCTGGATGGAATAAATATCTTTTGGTCCTCTCAGCAGTACTGGATGCTGTGGTTACTGCCTCCATCATGAAACTTCTCTTTGTCTCTGGCTTCTATGTCTCAACACTCGCTGGGAATCTTCCTATCTCTCTAGCTGAGCTTTGTT